TCTCTCTCTCTCTCTCTCTCTCTCTCTCTCTCTCTCTCTCTCTCCCTCCCTCCCTCCCTCCCTCCCTCCCTCTCTCCCTCATGAAATAGGAAAATAAAAGATTCCTGCTGAAAAAGGGGGAAATGCCATTAGATGCTGGCAGGCTTTGGGCACAAACAAGCAAACCAACAATGGAGAATAACAGAAAATCAAAATGAACATTTTGCTACAGTTTCTATTGTTCAGTTTTTGTGTCTCCTTTCTCATTCTTACAATATTTGTGTGTGTGTGTTGTGTTGTGTTTTATTTTGCTCTCAAGGGGATATTTTATTTTACTCATTTATTTTGATTGATCCCTGGTCCCCCCCCCCCAACCATGCAACACTTATTATTTTAATCTCCAACTGCTATTTTTCCATGGTAGGCCTACCCTGGAGGTAAATGTTGAATACATCTATTCTGAATACAGTGGCTGGTTTGCATGATCCTCCAAACAAGTCAACTACACACAAATTTGAAAAGCTCAGAGTTCAATAAATCATGTGTTATCATGTTAAGAACAGAGAAATCTAATAGGGAAAGTTGGTACAAAATTAAAAATTCTCCTGGGAAGTGGCCACCTCCATAAATAAATTAGGGGTTAAAGCAGAGCCTGCGCCCTGAGCCCACTCTTGTACTCCAGTGAGTCTTGGACCCTTTACGCATGGCAGGAGAGAAAGTTGAACACCTTTCATATATGCTGTCTCCGACGTATTCTCGGCATCACTGGCATGACAAAGTCCCAAATAGTGCAGCCTCGGAACATGCTGGAATTTCTAGCATGTATACACTATTGAAACAGCGACGTCTACACTGTCTTGGGCATGTCGTTATAATGGCTGATGATTGGATTCCAAAAGATCTCCTGTATGGGGAATTAATGCAGGGAAAGCGTCCCAGAGGGAGACCACAGCTGTGATATAAGAATATCTGCAAGAGGGATCTGAAGGCCTTTGGAATGGATATTAACAGCTGGGAAACCTTGACCTCTGATCGTTCAGCTTGGAGGCTAAAGACGCAGCATGGCCTTCTCCAATTCGAAGAGATACTTGTTTGGCAGGCTGAGGCAAAGAGGCAGCCCTGGAACCAGCGAAATCTGGGGTCTGGGCAGGGGACAGAATGTATCTTCCCTCAGTGTGGAAGGGATTGCCACTCCCGAATTGGCATTTTTAGCCACACCAGATGCTGCTTTAGGACCTCTTTCCAGAGCACGATACCATAGCCTTTTGAGACTGAAGGATGCCAATGTAATGTGAGAAAGCTCCTCTTATGAGTCTGGAGGGTTGGCATAAGCTGTAGTTTCTCTTTCCCCTTATTCATGGGGCCAAGAAAATGGGCAGGGGGAAGCCATTGCAATCACAAAACAACCTGTAAAGGACACATTTCCTTTCTGAGTGGAATGTTTTGACCCAGGCTTCCTTATAAAGCAAGAAGCAAAGTTTTGGTCCGGACAAAACCTCTTTTATTTACATGACTGTGAATTTCTTTCATTCACAATAAGTAAGGCTTTAGCAAACAGTCTTTTAGAGGAATGTTTATCCACACGCACCTTATCTCATTTGGAACACTACAAGATAACTAGTTTCCAAACACAGGGCAAAGCAAAACTTGACACAAAGTCTCTTATAATTACAAACAGAACTTTCCACTTCTGACACCACCAAATGAACGAATTGTTTCCTGCAAAAGCAGGGGGGGGGGCAATCACCTCCAAGGTGTGGCTTTACTCCTAAGTTGACCCTGCTTTCTTAGTTGTTCTTGTCTTCTGGCAGCTCTGTGCATGCGCACACTGGGAAGTGGCTCCAGCTGTTCCTCTGCCTCACTCCTGTCTAGCTCCCTCATCTGAGCTTTCCTCATCCCCCAGAATTGGCCCATGTTGCTCCCCAACCTCCTCACTGTCCGACTCTGCTGCCAGCTCTGCTGGCCACTAGTAGACCCCAACATGAATGGAAATCAAAGTAAAAGGAAAGCAAGGAACTTACAATGACAGACAGGCAGCAGGCGGTCCCAGATGCCATCTCCCTGGCAGGTAAGCACATGGGTGCCCAGTAAATAATATCCACGGTTGCATTGATAAGAGACAGTTGTTCCAAAACTGAATCTGTGAGGCCCACTTGGTTGCACTTGACGGACACTGTTTTCCAGGTGTCCAGGATCGGTACAATTTACAACTGCAAGCAAATCACAGAAGATAAGAAAAACATTAACAACAACAACAAAATGAAAAAGTGTTATGGGGAAAGAAAAGAATCTCACTTTTTCCCTTCCGTTTTTGAAAATAACATGGGGGGATAGTAGATCAAATCAAGGGTATCTGTGGGTGTAAGCAAAAGGATAGTGGCTGCAAGCTGAAGGCACAACTGAAGTGCCACCTCTTTTTCATATTTATGTGACCCACATCAAAAGGGGGTTGATTATGTGGTTGTAGCAGCCATCCTGACTTTTTAAACCCTCCCCACCAATGCCACTGGATCAAACCCTAGTGTTTTACTCAGTGGTGAATTTTTTTTTTACTACTGGTTCTGTGGGCATGGCAGAGGAAGGATTTGTAAAATCCCCATTCCCTCCCTACTTCTGGGGAAAGGATATTGCAAAATCTCCATTCCCTCCCCACTCCTGGGGGAAGGATATTGCAAAACCTCCACTCCCTCCCCACTCCTGGGGGAAGGATATTGCAAAATCTCCATTCCCTCCCCACTCCTGGGGAGAAGGATACAGGTGAATGCTCATCTCTGTTTCAAGACCATTGAGCCAGTGCTATCCAAAGACATTTCCACAGTCACGTGGCCAGCATGACATCATAGAGTGCTCGTACCTTCCTGCAGAAGTGGTACCTATTTATCTACATGCATTTGCATGCTTTTTTACTGCTAGGTTGGCAGGAGCTGGGGCTAGGATGGTAGCTCAACCCATCATGTGGTCCTTGGGTCTTGAACCTGGGCTGCCAGCTTTCCAGCTGACAAGCCCAGCATCTTAACTGCTGAGCCACTGCAATTTCTTTTTCAGGTAGCAGGATATGAATTAATAGGAATTGTTGTGAAGAGTGGAGTCCTTGGTGGTTTCTGAGTACAACCCAGAGATACATATATTCTCTTGACTGAAGTGGTGTAGGGTTTCCTCCCTTTGCCTGAAGTGGTGTAGAATTTCCTGCCTAAGCTAAGCAGGGGGTTGGACTAGAAGACCTTCAAGATACCTTCTAACTCTGTTATTCCAGATTTTCTAGAATGTAGAGAAAATATTCTTCTATTGTACTGAAGAGAGGTGGATGGTTGACCAGAGCTCATCGAAGAAGCAAAACTAGACAATACTCTTGGTGCTTTCAAATGCACTCTTTTAAATAATGATTGAAACATTATAATTATGTATTTTGGACACACTTCATTCATTTGGTCTCTGTGTTTTTATGGTTTTACAGTTTTGGCTGTTTTATTGTGATTGTGAGCTGCCCAGAATTGTGATTTAAGATGGGTAGCCATGTAATTTTTTAAAATGAAATAAATAATGTGTTAGTTTAATTTTGGTTTTAATCATCACCAAACCGTTAGGCCAGGGCCTTTTTCCTTTTATCTAGGCTTTCCACATGACACTGAAGCTGGACTGTGCTGAGTAAAGACCCCTCTTTCTTTCAGGAATCTGCTGGGACACGTTGAAAAGAAACACAGGGAGGTTCTGCTTATGGCACTTCCATCAGAAGAGAAGCTGCTCCAGGCTGCAGGACAGATTTAGATCGCAGAAATAAAGGGGGAGGGAGGGAGAAAGAGGGGGATAAAGAAACACAACTTACTGCGACAGATGGGCAAAGGTTTACTCCACTGGCCATTTGCCAAGCATTGGGACTTGGAAGTCCCTTCCAGGTGATATCCAACGTTGCATGTAAACTTGGCCACATTGTTGAGATTGAACTGAGTGCCTTGGGTCAGACCATTTGTTGGATTGCCTGGATGACCACAGGTGATGGCTGCAGAGAGAATGCAAGATATTACACCCCTGCCTTGTTCCCTGGCTCAAGGACATACAAATGCCAACTACAATAGAATGAAGTGCTACAGGTGAGATTTTTCCCAGGTTTGCCCATCTTCTAGCAGCATCTGATTTCTTTTCAAGCCGTATAATGAAAGTCACCCCATTCCCCTTTCTAGGCTGACCCTTAACTAAGCTCTTAAATACCCTTAAATACAGCTCATCTGTCTGGAACCTGCACAACATATCGGACATTAATACAATTGAGCGAGTCCAGAGATATTTCACAAGAAGAGTCCTCCACTCCTCTGCTTGCAACAGAATCCCTTATGCCACCACACTTGAAATTTTGGGCTTGGACAACTTAGAACTACGCTGCCTTCGGTCTGAGCTAAGTGTAGTACATAAAAATATGTCCTACAATGTTCTACCTGTCAATGTGCCTACCGTCCCTGTCCTAAAGGTTGGGAAAGGAGTCCCAAACGTGTCCCCTCCCCCCTAAAAGGCAACTGGACTTCCTTGTTTGTTTGTTTTTTCCTTTGAAAACATTTCACTTCTCATCCAAGAAACTTCTTCAGTGTTCAAAGAAAAAAACAAGAAATTCCAGTTCTCTTTAGGGAAATGGCAAATATGACCTGGATGATTGAGAATCTCCATAGACAATCGGAGAAGGAGGGGGATATTTGAAGGAAGGATTGTATTTTAGCCACAGAGTTTTTTTCGTGGCCTTCACCAGCCCCTCTCCATTTCCGGCAGACATTGTTGCTCTGATACTTTCCTTCAAGGAACATGGTGCTTTCCATAGTACAGGTAACAACCAATAGACAAATAATCCAAATAACTGCTTTCAATAACTGTCATTTTATTTCATTGAATCGAATCACCAATTATATCATCTAAAAATATTTTGTGAATTAAGTATTCTTAGAAATTAGAAACTTCGGCAAGATTTGCCTTTGGTTGATTATTCAGTTGTTCTAAATGTGACATTCTCTTTATTTGCATCACGATTGCATCATATATTCCATTTTGTAAAATTGAGAAGTCTCTGTTGGCTATACTTCAATATGTTTTCAAATCATTATCTCATATTTTATACAACTGACACAATTTCTTTCCCCATTCTTTCTGGGGATTATCTTTGCCTACCCACCTTTTGTAATATTGATAGATAGATAGTCTGTAGCCATAACTTATTTAGGCAATTTAGAAAACAAGAGACTCTTGCTCGGGCATTCAGCTAAGTATTTAGAGAATTCATACTTGTATGTAAAGCATGTGTGAAAGCTGGCTTGGCCTTGCCTCTTTCTTTCCCCAGCTTCTGGGTATGCAATAACTGCCTGTCCATGGTCTCTGGTCCATGACTGTAAAATTGATTGATTGATTGATATTGTCAAGAAGAGCTTGATCATTGCTGCCTTAAACAAAAGTAAAACAACTATGGAAAAATAAAACAATGGTAGTACTAATAGTAATAGGTGCCTTGGGTGTAATTCCAAAACATCAAGAGCACCAAAATCACAATCCATCAATTGCAAAATGCAGATTTATTTGATACAACTTACATCCTGTGATGATACCTCTAAGACCATCAAGCATCCACATCTGCCTATTTCAGGTCCTTGGGAAGGACTTGATAGGTGGAAAAAAAATGCCAATCCACTCTAAAGATTTGGCTGACTGTGCGGTAATAAAAATAATGCATTATTATTATGGTCTGTTGTACAGTCAGCCTGATGTTCAGATTGGACTTTACCTATCGAGTCCTTTCCAAGAATGTGGGAGAGGCAGATGTGGTTGTTTGATGGTGTTACAGATATTGTTGCAGGATAATTATGTTATTATTATATTATCAACAAATAATAATATGGCTAGGTTTCATCCATACAAGTATCATGGGAAGCTTAACCTCCTCTGAAGCTTTGAATAGAGGTAAAGGTTTCCCTCGCACATATATGCTAGTTGCTCCCAATTCTATGGGGCAGTGCTCATCTCCCTTTCAAAGCCGAGGAGCCAGCGCTGTCCGAAGTCATCTCTGTGGTCATGTGGCCAACATGACTAAATGCCAAAGGTGCATGGAACACTGTTACCTTCCCACCAAGGGTGCTCCCTATTTTTCTACTAGCATTTTTACATCCTTTCGAACTGCTAGGTTGTCAGAAGCTGGGACAAGTAACAGGAGTTCACTCCGTTACACAGTGCTAGGGATTCGAACCGCCGAACTGCCAATCTTCTTTGTATATAAAGTTTTTTATTTTTTTTCATTTTCATAACATATAATCACATGCACTATTAAATAGCCAACATCGTATTGTATTATTAAATGTTTACATCAACTGCCAACATTTTGATGGACAAACTCAGCAACTTAGCCACTGAGCCACCGCGTCCTTATGCGATGAATAATTTGTGCAAATTGTCTTAATTTGGTGAAGGCTAATGATACCATCCTCAAACATTTAGTTCAATGTTTTAGCGCTGTTGTATACCAAGATGCTAAAATAGATGGTAGCATTTAGCTCACCTTGACTGATTTCAAAAAATCACAGTTAAGCATGATAGGTCATAGGACAATTTTTTTCAAATGCCAGAAAAAATATTAAACCACTTAGGTACCATTCCCAAGAAAACGAGAGTATGTGAATGTGTTCTTACAGTCATCATAAACTGAGCTTAACCTGAAGCAAGAATTTCTCTTTTCAACACTTAATAGAAATAACTGTCATAGAAAATCTCCTCTACATTCCCCCCATGGATCTAACTTAGCCAAGCTTATCAACTCACACGTGTAATGTTAAAACCCTTAGAGCTATACACTCATTGAGACAGAATGCGGGCTCCTAAAAGTTGTATGGGGGAATAAAATAAAGGGCATGCGACAATATTTCCTTTAACAAGATGAAATGGCACACTGTAACTTAAAATGCTGCAGGCCACAAGAAAACATTGCAAATCAAACAGCTTTTTAATTCTTTATTTCCTACAGGTTCACATACAAAACATGCTGGAAAGGATTTTTTCCCCCCAGAATCCAACATACTGTATTTTTCAGAGTATAAGACACACTTCCCCCGCTAAAAGAGGGTGAAAATTTGGGTGCGTCTTATACATTGAATGTAGCCTCACCCATCCACCGGCCCCCACCCTTTTGCCTCCCAGCAATTTACCTCCTTGCAGCAAATGGGGAAAATGGGGCTTGCAGAGGCTGCAACAGGCTATAGCAATCCCTGCAGCCTGAAACAGCTGATCATCGGGAGGCCCATGCTGAAACTGAAAGTGAAACTTGCTGTTTGCTGCACAAGGCAAATTGCTAGAGGTAGATTTTTTTTTTTCTTGTGCTAATCAGGCTGTTTGCTGCTTGCTGCAAGGAGGTAAGTCAATAACTACAAAAGCCTATAGAATGTTCAAATTATTAGGCTTATTTTTAAAAGACTGCTTTATTGTTGTTCTAGACAACTTAACAAAATGAAGAAGTTTTTTAAAATAAATGCTTGATCTGAAGAGGTTCAGAGCTATTGTATCTTCTTTTAAATAGCAGAGAATGACGTATACTTCCAGAAAGCCGCATCGATTTTAACAGCATCTGTACAAGTATAATCTGAAATGTAACATCACAAACAGTTTATATCATCTGTACTGTTTGCTGTTTGCTGCAAGGAGGCAAATTGCTGGGAGGCAGAGGCAGAGGCGTGTCTTATACTCACAGTAACTATTCTGGCTTAAGGTATCTGAGTGTTATATTTCACTATTGTGTTGAGGACAACACGCTTGTTCCAACCCATTCTCATCTCGAGGGCCTCCATTTTTCCTCAAGGGTGCTTAGGATGGGCCTTTTTAGTTGTCTTGTTGGAAGCATACAGAATGGAACATCAAGCAGGATGGGTTGCTATTGGCATTGTGAAACTAACAAGAAGGGTATCCCTAAAAGTGATACTGCCATTCAATTGGGAGGAGGGGGCCTTGGAGTCAATTTATTGGCAGTGCCTGTGACAACTGATATTTTACAACTGGTTTCCTGCCACGAAATGCCTGAGATCCCCTCACCTTTTAGGGGGATGTTTATGATGGCCATCTGGGACATGGCACTTTACTGGGTAATGGAAGATAGCCTTGGGAATGTATGTTTATTCGGCTCTCAGGGCAGTTGATAAAGGAAACATCTTCACACTTGTGTATTGGCTAGAATCTGCATTCTAACAAAGAGGAGGGGGTCACTATTACTTTAATTCTACTTGCATTGCCTAAAGGGATTCAGATGTTGCTTTGCATTTAATAGCTTCCATTCTTCTTAATTAAAGGTTCCTTTTGAAATAATCCGTTTCAAGAGTCCTCACTTTCTTAAGTTAGGAGAGGAGCCTTTACAAAGGGGTTGAAATACACCAGAAAAGATTAAGATCATATTGGCTGATAAAACAGGTTTCCAAATTTGAACAGTAGAATTAATAACCTGCCAAGGAGAGAGGGAGGGGACCCTGAAAAGATTTATTTCACATTAGAAAGTGAGCAAGAAAGAAAAATGATGGCTCAAACCAGCGCATATTCACAGAAATATTTTTTGAGTAATGAGGGTATATGACAGCAACTGAAGCTTGCACTTATATTGCTCTTGTCTAGCCCAACCATAGAACTTTCTTGCTCCTCATAAATACAACAGATGTGTCTGACTGGCAAAAATTGGGGGAATTATTGCCTCTGTGATGGGTCACGTGAGGAAAGGACTCCAGTGAGGATCTTGCTCTGTAAAGACTCAAAAGTAGCAATTTGGGATTCAGTTTTAGCCACGTAGCACAATAGAGCATAGAATCACAGGGCTGGAAGGGACACTGGAGGCCTTCTAATCCAACCCTCTGCTCACGGCAGGAGACTTTATACCCCTGATGGTGAACCTATGGCACATATGCCACAGATGGCATGCAGAGCTCTCTCTGCAGGCAGACCAGTTGTCACCCCAGCCCAGCTCCACTGTGCATGTGCACGCGCCAGAAGTGGGTTGCTCCCAGTTCAGCCCAGATCTGGCAAACCGGTAGTAGCGGAGGTGGGAGATTCCTCCCACCCATCCAGACGCTTCTGCGCAGTGAGTGAACTGGTAGTAAAAAATTTGAAACCCACTATTGGCACACGCCTCCCATTGGCCATCTGGTCTTCGGGTCTCTGCCACGCATGCTCAGGGGGCAGAGCACATGGAGGGGATGCACGTGCACATACAAAGGGGGGAAGGGTGCTTGTGTGTGTGTGTGGGGGGCTTACATTGCATTTTGGGGCTCACACAGTGCCCCATGCCCCATTTTGGCTTCCAGGTCATTGTGGGAGACCTTCTGGGTCCAAATCAAGGGACAGGGAAGCATGTGTGGATCCCCAGGTCCTGATTTAGGCCTGGAAGGCCTCCTCCAACCTAGAAGCCAAAAATGTGGGGAGGGCAGGGTGCATGTACAAGGGAGCACAGGGGGGGTCACATGCGCATGCAGGGGGATTTGCACATGCATTGCATTATGGGCTAGGGTTTCAGCATGCAACAACAAAAAGGTTAGTCATCACTGCCTTATACTATCCTGGTGAAATGGTTGTCCAGAATATTTTTTTGAAAAATTCCATTGATGGAGTACCTACCACTGCAAAGCATTCCATTGATTGTTCTCACTATCAGAAAATTTCTCCTTACTTTTAGGTCAGATCTCTCTTTAATATTTATTTATTTATTTATTTATTTATTTATTTATTTATTTATTTATTTATTTATTTATTTATTTATTTATTTATTTATTTATTATTTATTTATTTATTTATTTATTTATTTATTTAATAGGCTTCCATCCACTAGTTCTTAATCCTGCCATCTGGTACTTTTGAAAATAAGTCAATCCCCTTTTCTCTGTGATAGCCCCTCATGTACTGGAAGATAGTTATCAGGTCATCCCAATCCTTCTCTTTGATAGACCAGACATACAGCACCCAGCACCCTCAACCCTCATACAATTTAGCCCTCAAACCCTTTTTAGCACACAACCTACAAAGCTACCTATGACCTCTGATAACAACCAATCAGGATATTCCTCCTGTGCCTCAGGAGGGCACATAAATCCAGGGACTCTCAACATCTCTGTCTTTTCTGCTCAGGAACTCAAGCCATGTGTGATCCTGTCCACCATTAAATCATCTTTCCAAGCAGCCTCCATGTTTCCAGGGTCTTTTCCCCCCACTTGGAACTGAACCCAGATGGACATTTCTTCCAACACTCTTCTCTGCACACTTCCTAGAGTCTTAGCATCTTTATTTATATTGCTCAAAGAGAAAATAAAAGCTGCTTCTTAATTACTAAAACATCTCATGTTCTCTTTTATACAATCACAAATAAGGGATATTCTCTTCCTCTTGGAAAAGCTTGTGTCTGTTGTATGTCTCACAGGTAGAGTCAAAAGGGTTTCTCTATTCCTTGCAGGCTGTAGCAAAATGCATCAAGCATTCACAATGAGAAGGGAAGAGGACTAGGCAACTACATGGAAGACCAGTCAAAGAGTGTTAATTACAGGTTTTCAGCAACTTGGTTTTTTTTCCTGTGTGGTCTCAGTGCTGTCATATACATGGAAGATTAGCAAACTGTTCTTCCCACGGGTAAATGCTCTGTTGAAATTTGTAGGATTTGTTTTGGCATCTTATATCCATCTTAAAATGCTCTTTAAATATATGTGATTAATTTTAGATCCCGAGAGGAAGACCTGGAGTGGAATTGTTGAGCGTTCTTTAGCAAACAAAACACTACTTTGGCGAATGCAAAGTAAGTGAAATAACAATAGAAACAGAATCAGATCAAATATGTGCTCAGCTGAGCATCTACTTTTATACCAATGCAACCAAAATGAACAGGAGAAAAAGGGGGATTTCCTTTGAAGCCCAAGGTAGCATAAATCCACCATGACTTGTGAATCTCGATAGATCTGTCCTTCTTTACAGAAGTTGAATCTCTTGCAGATCCACCCCAGTGAATTGTTAAATGGAACACTTATCTCCCACAGTTGTGGGTGCTTTTCAAGAAAAGATGGAAGAACCATTTGTCCAGGATGGTATAGTATAGCCCCGTGATGGAGAACCTATGGCATGCGTGTCTGAAGTGGCACATGGAGCCATGTCGCCTGACACGTGAAGAATCACCCATTCCTCTTTCGGGTTTCTGGCATGCATGTGCACGCGTTCTGGAAACTGGAAGAGCTCGTCTTTCATTTTCCAGGATGAGCATGTGTGCTCCCTTTTTGGCACTCAGTGCTGAAAAGGTTCACCATCACTAGTATAGCTTTATTGTCATTGTACATCATGTATACAATGAAAGTTGTTGTCATGGTGCAATCCATGACAACAAATACAAACAACATAAATAGTATAAAGAATAATCCCTATGCAAGTAATTAAGAAATTAAAAAGAAAGAAAAAGAAAAACCAGTCTTATGTTTCCATGTGTGCATGGAGTGATTGTGGTTGTTTTGAAGAGCCTGACAGCCCAAGGATAGAAACTACTTTAAAACCTATTTGTTTGGCTGGCTATGCTTTGATGTCTTCTGCCCAATGGTAGATATGCGAAGAGACACTATAAGGATTTCTGCCTTATACCATCTTGGACAAATGAAGGTTGGACTGGGAGACCTCCAAGGTTCCTTCCACCTCATGATTCTATGACGTTTCTACGATATTTGTCATAAGAAAAAGACTTGACAGAAATAAAGTCTAGAATGGGCTCATAATCAAAACCAACAATAGATCTGCTGATAAAACTGGGTGAAGCAAAATTGTAGGACAGCTTAATTTCCCTAGGATGCATCTTTAAATATTTCAGAAATCATATTTTTTGATCCAGTCAAATATGCAATCCTTAGAAGTTCTGTTTTCACCAAATTTTTAACTGGATCTGCAGAAGGGAGTGAGGAATTCTAGAAATATGAAATGATGATCCCAATCAATTAACCAAGGCGTTATGTTTTGCTCTAAACTGTCCTATACAGGGCTAACAATCTCATCTCTTTACTCAAGTTGTGAGTAATTCATTCAGTCATTTGTCCCATTTTGCAAATTTAGTTCTCCAAGAAAAGAAGCCGGAGAGAAAGGTGCTGAAAAATCAAAACTCTCCCTTAGGGAGCTAACTGGCAGCATTGAACATACATCCCAAAACTGGCTGGTGTGACCAAGCAATGGCTATTATTACCTGGCTGGTCAGTGAAATGGGGTTAATGAATTAATGTAACCTTGTCAGGTTATGTGGGAAAAAATGGCTGGAGCTTCAGTTAAGTCCAAACTGTTATCTACAGAGATTCTCAATCATCCAGGCATGATTGTCCCAAAGATGCTTTTCTAAAAGGAAATTGGACTTTTGTTTTTTTTTCCTCTTAAAAAGTTTCAGTTCTCATCCAAGAAGCTTTTTTCAGTTCTCTGAACTTCTGTTCTTCAGAACTGAAGAAGCTTCTTGAATGAGAAGTAAAACATTTCAAGAGAAAAAACCCCAAGAAAGTTGAGTTGCCTTTTGGAAAAGCATCTTTAGGACGTTGAAAACTGGTGACTTTTAACCAGATTTATTCCTACTGGATTTCATTACATTTTATTAAATCTTTGCTACTTAATCCCAAAGGCTTTAGGTGGACCACAGCAATCAAAGAGAGAAATTGCAATAAAACTGATAAGGGGGAGTGTTCTGACCCAGGCTTCCTTTAAACGCAAGAAGCAGAGTCTTGTCCAGGCAAAACCCCTTTTATTTACATGACTGTGAATTCCTTTCATTCACAGTCTGCAAGGCTTAGCAAACAGTCTTTCAGAGGAATGTTTATCAACATGAACCTTACCTCTTTTGGTAAGCTGCCAAATAACTAGGTTCCAAACGCAGGGCAAGGCAAAACTTGGCACAGTCTCTCTTATAGTCACAAACAGAACTTTCCACTCTTGAAATGACCAAATGAACAAATTGTTTCCTGCAAAAGCCCCCTCCCCGTTCGCTCCTCTTTTGTTTCCTATGGGAGGGGCCAATCGCCTCCAAGGTGTGGCTTTACTCTTAAGTTGACCCTGCTTTCTTAGTTGTTCTTGTCTTCTGGCAGCTCTGCCCATGACCACACTGTGAACATGCTCCAGCTGTTCCTCTTTGCCTCTTTGTTGTCTAGCTCTCTCTCTCTCTGCCTCGTACGGAGAGCCCACATCTGAGCTTTCCTCAGCACCTGGACCCTGTTCCTCCCCAACCTCCTCACTGGCCGACTCTGCTGCCCGCTCCGCTGGCCGCTGGTGGGTCACAACACAAAGGTGAAAGAGAGCAGAAATGATAGACCAGATGGAATGGAGCCAGGAGTCTCAAAAATCCTTACATAATCTTATGCTAGACTACTGAAACTTGCAAGATTTTTGGCAACTAAGGAGGCATCTGGTGAATCAGGACTGGGAAACAGGACAGTTGCAACCTCACCATCTCCCACGCCCCCCTTTTCTGAGCTCTCTAGTAAAGTTGTGAGTCAGGCTGTGTAATTAAAATGGCAACATACTTACGCACACAAACAGGAGTCTTCCCGGACCAGTGGTGATCTTGCTGGCAGATGCGGACCGACATGCCGATGAGCCGGAAGCCAGGGTTGCACTGATACACCACACTGCCACGGTAATTGTAGTTCTCTCCATTGATTTGGCCATTGACAATAGGACCTGGCTCACCGCAGTGTCCCGCTGGAGGGACAAGTAAATGTGGTGGTGGGGAAAAAGAGAAGGTAGAATTACTGATAGCCCAATATAGAACAAAGTCTACCTGGATACCTATGTACCTTAGGAAAGTACTACAAATTTTGTGTTAATTCAGAAGGTTCTTAAAACAATATAAAACTGAAACCAGAAGTTTTTCTTTTAGGGATATTGGACAAAAAGCTTGAAAAATATTGGAATTTTGTTATTACAGTATATAGACAACCCCCCTCACATTTTGTAAATCTTTAAGGATATCTTTTCATGTGACAACACTGAAGAAATGACAATGTAGAGTAGTGTGCATACAACTTGTATAACAGTGTAAATATGCTGTCACCTCAAAATCACACAACACACAGCCATTAATGTCTAAACTGCTGGAAACAAAATTGAGTACACCCTTAAGTGATAATGTCCAAATGGGGCCTAAGTAGCCGTTTCCCTTCCCTGATGTCATGTGACTTGTTAGTGTTATAAGGTCTCAGGTGTGAAGGGGGAGCCAACATTTCTTCAGCATTGTCACAAAAGATATATTTAAATATTTACAAAATGTGATGGGGCGTACTCACCTCTGTCATCTACTGTGTATATGCTGATGGTAGCAAGAGACTTCTATGCACAAAAAAAAAATGGAATTATTTCCCACAATGGAAGAATGGATGGAAAAAGAGTTGGTAGAGATGGCAACAGCAATTAACAAGAAAAAGTCAGTTTTGTTTCCCTTTGGAAACCACTTCTGAACTTTATGCTCAAAAGAGGGGAAAAAAATGAAAATTTGAGTTTAGGTTCCTAAAAGTACTTGTTTATAAGTGCATCATCTCTAAACCTCTTGGTATGACAAAAAAATGAGACTGTTCTTTCTTTATACGGGTGGCGAGTCAACATTATCAAGAGACTGCTAAAATATTAAGTTTTTTTTAGATATTTATAGGGTTTTTCATCCACTGCTAATATTTTTTTAAAAATATGTTCAATTATATCAGGTTTCCAAAGATGGCATCAGGCAACTCCAACAATGAGAGAGAAGTAGAAAAGTCTTTTGTATGTATCAAACAGTTATAAAGCCAGGATAAAGGAAGAACAGCAGCAAAAACCCATTACTGTTTTCATTCATTCTGTTTATTAAGACTATTCAAGACATTTCCCCATCTGGAGCGGATAATAAAGTGTAAAATAAGGTTTAATTTAACCAAAAGCAAAATAAAAGTACTTTGGGTAGCAAGAGACTTGTCCAATACAGTATTTCATTCTTCAGCAAGAAGAAGAAAAAGAAATGATGCAAATTAAAAGGAGCTGATTAAAACTGTCCCTTATACATTTATCAACTGACATTGTGGTGGATTAATCCACTGCTTCAATCTGACCTTGCAGCTCTTTTGAAAGATGGGTCAGAAACTGCCTCTGAAGAGTCCCCTAATCTCCTATTTGGGGCTTTGAATGGCCCCTAGCCGATCAGGTTGACAGTAATCCTATACTCACCCAGGCATGTCACTTCTAGTCCACTCCAAAGACCATTGGCCATACATTCTCGGACACGAGACCCCACTAAGGTGTAGCCGCTATTGCAGGAGAAGATCGCAGTAGCTCCATAAGTGGTTAAGGTCCCAATCCTGTTTCCATTGGATGGCACGGGCAAATCTCCACAGGAGATGACTAAAATATAACACACACACAAACAAACAAAGTGTCAGTTTTGGAAGCTATTGTTTTCTTTCTTCTTCCTAATTGCCACATATTTTAGCCTGGGAAATTGGGAGGGTTTTTTTTTTTTTTGAGCAGTAGAAACATAGCCATGATTTTACTATGAAAATCAAGGATGCTTGCCTGCACCTGGATGGGACTGCCTGGAGATTGTATCCAGTTGAATGCAAAGATTGGATTGGACCAGATGATGAACTTGTGGATGTGGGCAGGCTTGTGAACTTTCAACTGGGTGGGGAAAACCTGGAAGCTTTCAGATTCGGGTTTTTTCCAGATGTGCCAACATGACATCTCTAATAAATTGGAATTTTAAGGAACTTCTAGTCTCAACGTTTTATTTTGTTGGGGGTGTTTTTGGGAACCCTGACACTTTTTTTCGGAATATAAGATGAACCTTTTCCCCTCAAAAAAGAGGAAGCCTCATAGCCCTCAGGAGCACTCTACAAGCCTCTTAAAGGCTATGCATGCCCTCTATTTTTTGGACAAAAAACTGGCCATTTTTGGGAGGTCACAAAAACAGGCCATTTTTGAGAGGTCTACAGAGTGCAAAAGCTTTTTAAAAAATTTGCCTCTTCAAAATCTTGGTGCGTCTTATACTCTGGTGTGTCTTATACTCCAAAAATATGGTAGTTAATAAAGCATTTCTGGTGTTGTTCCACAACTGAATTTGGTCATTCACAGTCATTTGTCTGTGGATGGTGCAAAGAACTAAGTCCCTGGTCCATGCTTAATAGGTCCAGAAAGGCTCTCCAGAACATTGACATGAATTGGAGCCCTCCTGTCCAAGATGATATCTTAGGGAGCTCCATGTAGACTATAAATGTGGTATAAGAATAATGTGGCAAGTCCTGTTGCTGTTGGTATCGTCTGGCATGGGATGAAATGCACCTGTTTTGAAAACACCCAAATGACTGTGTTTCCCACACTTTTGGGGAATTCCATAATAAAGTCCATAGAAATCTCTCTCCATGGACCTATGAAAGGGCACTAGGGCAAAGAAGAGTTCACTGTTTTTTTCAGATATGGGTGTATGTTACAATAAATTGCAAATTGTTCAATCACCCTTTATTTAATCAACCTCAAGTGGCTAGTTATGTACCACATATGATGGAGGACTTCATGGTACTCACTAAAATGCATTTTAACATGTTGTCAAGAAGTGACTAACTCTTGTGACTTTAAAACTCCTAAGCCAATTTTTGTGGATTCCCAAATCCTCCTGATTTACAAAACCTTGGCAACGAAAGTGAGACTTCAGGCGGCATGATTTTTTAATAAGAAAATAATTTTAGTTATAAAATTGGTGTGCTAGGTTTTATTAAGTGATACATTAGTAAGGATGTATTCCAGAACCTTTTCTAACCAAATAGTTGTTTGGGAACAGAATTGGTTCATTATATAAATTTTGTATATTTATTTTTTAATTTATTTGTCTGTTACCTATTCCCAAAGTCTGTGGAAGGTGAACAATCTCATAATTATGTACAGCACTGTTTCTCAACCTCAGCAGCTTTAGATTGTGTGGAGTTCAACTCTCAGAATTCCACAGTTAGCTGTGCTGTCCAGCAGAGTTGGACAGTGAGGAGGTTGGGGAGAAACAGGGGCCAGTCCTGGGGGCTGAGGAAAGCTCAGACGAGGGCTCTGCATAGGAGGCAGAGAGGGAGCTAAACAGCAAAGAGACAGAGGAACAGCTGGTGCCTGTTCCCAGTTTGTGCATGCGCAGAGCTGCCAGAAGACAAGAACAACTAAGAAAGCAGGGTCAACTTAGGAGTAAAGCCACACCTTGGAGGTGATTTGCCTCTCCCATAGGAAATAAAAGAGGAGTGAACAGGGAGTGGCCTTTCGCAGGAAACAATTCGTTCATTCGGTCATTTCAAGAGTGAAAAGTTCTGTTTGTGACTATAAGAGATTCTGTGCCAAGTTTTGCCTTGCCCTGCTTTGGGAAACTAGTTATTTGGCAGCTCACCAAATGAGTTAAGGTTCATGTTGATAAAGTGTGTGTGTTGAAGTCCATGCATCTAAAAGCTGCTGAGGTTGAGAAATATTGATGTAAATCGAGAGTGTTTTGGCGGCCTGGGTCACTGGAACCGGCAGCGACCAAGCCTGCCATGCCCATGAACCGGTTCTCCTACATGGCCACCAACTTGATTTTCAGGTTTGCGCATGTGCAGAACAGTTGTAATTCCTTTTTTAACATTTTGCACATGCACAGACCTATTTTTGTGCAAATGTGCACATGTGCACTGAACCCCACATTGCTCGTGCATGCACAGTTTGCTGTAAATGGTTGTGTGCATGCATGAAGACCATTGAAAGCTAATAAACATGATGCCAGCAACGGCATCGGAAACTGGGAAACCGGTTCAGGGGCGTGGCCAGGCACTGCCTGTTCTGTGACCTAGGCCAAATTACCACTACTGGTTCAGCCGAACCAAGCCAAGCCGGGAACAACCCACCTCTGCACCCCACCCCAGTGTCATATTATTCTCCCAGATGCACACACTATTAGATTCCTTTTGATTTCTCATTCCTAAAACACACACTCACTTCTACAGGTTGGCATGGGTTCGTCTATGCTCCATTTCCCATTCGCCTGGCAGCTGATGACACGATACCCAATGTAATAGTAGCCCGGGTCACAGATCAACATAAGCTGTGCGTTGTATTGGTACTGAGTCTCATGGATCAGCCTCCATCTTCCATGTTCCACAGCAATGCTGCTGATGTCAGGACAGCCAACCGCTGGAGTCACGAAAGAGATGAAAAGAGAAACAATCCAAGTCAAACTAAAGGCCCATTATTCTGTCCGTCCTAGCTGAGAACGGCCAGCTGAAAGCTATAAATAAGAGGAGAATGTTGCATTTGTCACTGTCACTGAACAGTCTGAACTGAATTTGTTCTAAACCGGTGGTCATTTGAAAATGGACCCAAATTTGTCACAAAGCTGAATGAAGTGAGGATGCAAACCTCTGAGGCAACATTGAATGATTTCTGAACAAGGGGAACAATGAACCTGATAACTAAAGTATCTATAAGAGGACAACAGATGGGAAGGCAAGTCTATTACAGGTGTTTAGCAGTGTCAGCTAGAAATTGAGCCTCCACCTTTTGATATAACACATACGTGCTAGTCATTCCCAACTCTAGAGGGCGGTGCTCATCTCTGTTTCAGCCAAAGAACCAGCGCTGTCCGAAGACATCTCTGTGGTCATGTGGCCGGCATGACTAAACGCCAAAGGCGCACGAAATGCTGTTACCTTCCCACCAAAGGTGGTCCTTATTTTTCTACTTGCATTTTTACATGTTTTCAAACTGCTAGGTTGGGAGAAGCTGGGACAAGTAACGAGAACTCACTCCGTTACCTGGTGCTAGGGATTCCAACCACTGAACTGCCAACCTTTCTGATCGACAAGCTCAGCGTCTTAGCCACTGAGCCACCACGTCCCTCTTGCATAAAATAGAAATAATCAATATAGAAAGAGTTACATCAGCACGGGAAGTTCTGTCTCAAAGAAACTAAAGAATGCGCAGAGTAGAGTTAAAAAAGTGACTTAAATTGCTCCACCAAAACCATGGACAGAGTTATCTGGAAAGAGGATTTCTTTGACTTTCTCAATGTAGAAATTCCCTTCACCAGCAAAATAGCAGCCTAGCTAAAAAAAAAAAAAAAAAAAAAAGGCCAGCAGGAGGATTTCACTCATGAGATCGTTCTTTGGGCTCGAATGAAAGAAAATATCTGGTCCTGTGGAGCAAGAGATTTAGATTTCTATATAATACCCTCTTTCTAATTTCCCAGTAAGCATCTAAGGAACTACTGTTGTCAAGAGACTAACTAACTAGGTGGTCTTTTAACTCCAACACAATAAGCTTCTGGTTGCTTTTGAAATTATTCTGGATGCTTATTAAAACAAAGGCATCGTGCTTAAAAGGAGACAAAGAATATGGAAGGCTGAAGGTGGACCATATTAGACTCACCCACACATGGAGGAGGATTATTGCCATTGCTCCATTGTCCAGTTGCCAGGCACTCCACGCTGGAGTTATCTTGAGCCTGGAGGTGAAAACCCTCTTTGCATTGGTAAACTGCTTTGCTGCCCATGGTGAACTCCCGGCCAAAAACAACCCCGTTCTTCGGAGCTTTGGGAACTCCACAGGAGATTGCTTGGAAGGAAAAGTCAAGATATGTGACTGCTTGCAAAGTCTTTGCTTCCATAGTGAGCTTCAAAATTTAACCTGGTTTTATTGTCTCGAGTCTTCCCTATCCAATGTATGTACTGTATAGCAGCATTCACAGTAAACAATGATACCAAAAAGATGTGTGTGTTATGACATCACACAAATGTTGCAAATATATACTGGAGGAGGGTCCTAACCGCTTTACTACCGGTTCGCTGAGAGGGCATTTTGCACATGTGCTGCTCGCTTCATCCCCGCACATGTGCGCCGTGTGTTGCATATGCACAGAAACATGCCAGCGACAGCAGAAGACACCAGGGAACCATTTTGGGGGTATGGCAGGCCTGGGTCGCTGGAACCAGAAGCGACCCACACCGCCATACCACTACCGGTTCAGCCGAACCGGTCTGAACCGGCAGGAATCCACCACTGACTTGAAGTCTTGAAGCAGGTGCAGAAATCAGGGTGGCCTATGCATAATGCAGTCATCACACACGTCTTGTGTTGCATCCTTGTCACAAGACATAGCATGATGCATTCTTTGCCAGCCCCAAGCTCTGAAGCCTTTCATATGCTTTTCCCAACCTCCAAAGATACCCATGTGCGTAGAAGCATACTATTTGAATTTCTTTTTGCAAAACATGCCAACACACTTCAGTGGGACGTCTTCCAAATGAGCCAAGAACAGAAGGATATAAATTAATACCTAATCCCCAAAGTGGGACAAGGTGGGGGCTGAGACGTCAGCTAATTTGTGACCAATATTGGTTGGGGTTATGGTTCCTTTTGAACAGGGAAGATTTGCCTAGTCTTGGGGATATCTGTGACAGTAGCTAGAATTCTTTTGAGCTTGTGATGGTACCCAAGAACAGACCTTGCCTTAGTCCTCCAGGCCCTGCTATGCCTATCTTGATTTATGGGACTTGAGACCTATCTTTGAAGGCAATCAGAAACCACAGTTCATGCAACTGCTTGGAAAATTACAAGGAAAAACAGTTGATGTTTGATGCTGGGCCATTTTTTAATGGTCTAAAAGTATTGACCTTTATGAATTGTGCCCAGATTACACCTACATTATTAAGAACTCCTATGCCACCTTTACTTTGAGATCAGCTTTCAAATCCTTTGTCTAAACTCAAGGGATAGGACCTTTTCAGCTGAGGTCATAGATTTGTAGATTATTATTATCCTAACTGAAATAGATTAAGCCCTGTCAATTTAGTTATTTAAACAAACTTTAAATAATTATTTATTTTGAACTTTCAGCACTAGGATTTTTTTTTTTAAATTTGATATATTTTTAAATGTTGGGTGGAATCGGGAGTATCTTTATTGTTTTTGTTGGAATATATTAAGATCATATTTAATTATTGTTTGCTGTACTTTAAGTCTAATAGTGTCACTGTCCTAATTTTATTTAGGCAATCTATTTTGTAGAAATGGCCTTTGGAGGAATGCATAACCCTAAAAGGGGCACATTTTAAAATAACATCTGTTTTCCTTCTAAAATAACCATTTATGGATCTACTCTCTTTGTATAAACAACTCATCACTGAGACGTTAGAATATTTATAAACTTTTTATTATGTTGTCATAGCAATTTAGCCAATGACTTGCTGGATGTTCATTTCAATTAAACAAGTTGAACCCTGTGGGCATCCTTGACTATCTTTTCCCAGGACACATTTGCCTGCAAGCTAAGCTGGGAGGCCATTGGCCAGCAGAATTGTGATTAGGGATCTGTGCTTAAACACAAGCAAAGGTAAAATGATAAAGCTGCAGGATAAACATCCAGATATCATTTAGATTTTTAAAAGTTCCTTTATGAGAAAAAGAGAAGAATGAATAGGAGGAAGCAGTAGGCTGGAGAGGGATTTTGAAAGAACAGCTATAGTAGATGGTGAAAGAAACACATAGCACAATAAGGTAAAGGTTCCCCTTGCACATATGTGCTAGTTGTTCCTGACTCTAGGGGGCGGTGCTCATTTCCATTTTAAAGCTGTAGAGCCAGCACTGTCCAAAGACGTCTCCATGGTCATGTGGCCGGCATGACTAAAAGCCGAAGTCGCACAAAGCGCTGTTACCTTCCCTATTTTTCAAGTTGCATTTTTACATGCTTTCAAACTGCTAGGTTGGCAGAAGCTGGGACAAGTAATGGGAGCTCACTCTGTTATGCAGTGCTAGGGATTCGAACTGCTGAACTGCCGACCATTCTGATCAACAAGCTCAGTGTCTTAGCCACTGAGCCACCCTTTACATAGCACAATATGAAGGTCTAATATGTTACAGTAGGCCCTTCATAATCAAGGACATAGGCTCCTTCTGCAATGGTGCCTATTGTATTGCAAATAATTAGCATAAGGAAGGAAGGAAGGAAGGAAGGAAGGAAGGAAGGAAGGAAGGAAGGAAGGAAGGAAGGAAGGAAGGAAGGAAGGAAGGAAGGAAGGAAGGCGGGCAGATCCAGCTGTCCAGTGCGGGTGTCATCAGTCACATCCTAGCTTTGTGAAGATAATTGTGTTCATGTCACCTGAACCACTAAGGAGCTCAGCAAAACCTCTGGCAAGGCCAGGCGTCTAGACGGCTAAGTGTGATGAATACCAATTTCATGTAGCAGCAACAACAAGGGGGAAAGGAGAGGTGGCTGAAAATCCATGATTTTGACTGGTTCGGCTCTGTAATCACTATAACCTTCAAGGGTTACTTTATCAAAGCAATTTGGAGGGCCACATGGGCAGCTCATGCACCCCAAACTGTCTGCCAGTTGTTAACTGCTCTGTTCTCCCACTGACCCCGGTAGGATTTTGCATGTGGGAAATTTATAAGTGGGTCGGAAGTTTGGGGGTGGCTGCTTCTTTTGCTTCATTCTTTCAATGAAAACTGTAGAGATTGTACTGTACTTAATATTGTACTCCAGTTCAGACTCCCAGCAAAAACATATGTATTTAGATATTTAAAAAACATTCTTTGGGATATTGTATATTTGATGGGAAATAGATGTCTTTCTTCCACCTGGTTGGTTGCATTGAAGTTTGAGAATGTATTGAAGGAGATAAAGTTTGATTCAAACTGATAAGAGTTTGCGGGGGGAAATGAGCAGTTTAAATATCAATAAGATGCACTTTAAAGAATCAGAGGAAAGAGGATCGTTAGACATGCTAAAATGAACCAAGGTATAGGTAGAGATTAAGGAAATATTAGTCTAATTGCTATAGGCATGATAGAACTAGAAACCTAGAGGCCTCCGCCCCCCAAAAAGCTCAAGAGATGAAAGATAGATAGATGGATGGATGGATGGATGGATGGATGGATGGATGGATGGATGGATGGATATTCTCTTTTCTGTCTAATAGGTAGATAGATGGATGGATCAATGATAGATAGATAGATATAAATAGAGGGATAGATAGATAAATATATAGATGGATAGATGGATACTATATATGAATAAATGATGGATGGATGGATAGATAGACAGATAGACAGAAAGACAGATAGATGATGGAGAGAGGGGGGAGAGAGGGAGAGGGAAGGAGGGAGGGAGAGGGAGATGAATGTACAGAGCAGGGGATGGAGCAGAAATAGTTTAACCCAGTGTCATGTTTAGCAAACATTGAAGGGTAGTGTAAGGCAGTGTTTTTCAACCTTTTTTGTGCAAAGGCACACTTTTTTCATGAAAAAAATCACGAGGCACACCACCATTAGAAAATGTTTTAAAAATTTAACTCTGTGCCTATATTGACTATATATAAAGTAATTCTCCCACGGCACACCTTACACTATGTCACGGCACACTAGTGTGCCACGGCACAGTGGTTGAAAAACACTGGTGTAAGGAAGGCAACCTAAGGAAATAGGTGAGTAGGATGAAGACTACTCATCAATAGGGAGAACAAGAAGTACAAGGGAAGAAGCTGAGACTTTCCTACCTAAAGTTCCCTTCCCAAATCAACTTCCATTTCCTAAAGCTCTTGGGGAAGAGAGGAAGCTTGGGGATACAAAAGAACCAAGAGTGGTATTGCCAAAGGCTCAGCCAAGAAAGAGATCAGCAAACTTCACCAGTCCAGGAATTGCCCAATAATTTGTCTGAGGGAGGACTGAGGCTTGCAAAGTGCAAAATGGACAGCAGGGAACAGGAAGGAGGACTGGATCAGTCAACTTAAGAGAGATCTAATTCAAGAAGATGGGGGAATGACTGCTAACATTCACAGCTATGGTCTTCTGGCAATCTACCATAAATTGTTGGGAGAGAGGGAGGGAGGGAGGGACAGTGAGACAGAGCGAGAGAGACAGACAGATATATAGATATAGATATAGATAGATAGATAGATAGATAGAGAGAGAGAGAGAGAGAGAGAGAGAGAGAGAGAGGCAGACAGAGACAAAGAGAGAGACAGAGACAGAGACAGACAGAGAGAGAGAAACAGAGGCAGAGAGAGAGAGAGAGACAGAGAGAGAGACAGACAGACAGAGAGACAGAAAGAGAGACCAGGGAACCTTTAAAACTGTAGCTGCACTGTACTTCTTTTCTTGTCTTACCTTTTCATTTTGTAGGAATGCACAAGATGTTTCCTTTATCCACATTACCGTTCACATTTAATGCAAAGGAATGCAAGCATCAAGGATAATCAGAGGGTATTTTCCCCTCTGTAACAATCATTTTATGAAATAACTAAAGAGAATTTCATTACATGAGATAAAGGGAATCGCCGTGGCAAAACCATGCATTATAAGAACCAGCACTGCCTTTGTGTAAATCATTTATACAATTCTTTGCAGTGGTTGGATAGATACCTGTTTTATTCTAATTTGTGGAATCATAGTTATTGACTGAGTGTTGCTACTGTAAGATCCATATTTTCTGATTCCAAGTTAAATAAACATCAATTCCTGGCTTTGGTCCCAAGGCTGGGCTTGATGTTTATTATTTGTTCAATTGTTTTTGCTGCCTATTACATTTTTTTCATCTGGGCTGTCTGTTTGATTCA